AAGATCTCTTTGTTTATTCATGTAGAGATCTTTTGTTGCTTTTTTGACCTAAGATAGTTTAGAGAAAGAGAGGGAGAGCTTGGGAGATAGAGAGAGAATCTTATGAAGAAAAGTTTATGAGGTGTTCAAAAATGTTGCTTCAAGCAAGGATTTGATTTGTCTTCTCCATTCATCATTATTGGCTCCTTGGTGGCTCAAGGAAGGTCTTTTTCAGCAATTGATCAAGGTTTTCTGCTTGCATTAGGAGGAAGCAAAAAGAGGTAAGGTTCTCTAACTCATCGGAGTCAGTGAAAAGGAGTTTGTAAAGACTTCTCTGCCTTGTCGTGGGAGCAAAGGGAGAGTCACTATGTTTTAGTGCAATATCCAGAAGAGAGGCTCCGGGGAGTGGACGTAGGTCAAGTTGACCGAACAACTATAAAATTCTGGTGTGTTCTTTCCATATTTTTTCTTGCACTTTATTTTTTCATATATTAATTTTTGTGGTTGATTGTGCTTGTTTTAAAATATTCAAAAATGTTTCAAAAAGTTTTTATTTCATATTTAAGAATTTTTAAAATGACCAATTCACCCCCCTCTTGGTTAGCCTCGAGCTAGTTCATAAGGGCTTAACAACCCTAATGAACCTTTAGTATCTTAACTTGCTGCTCATTTTGCTTTTACTTTGGTGGGTAAATTTGTTCTTTGTAGACCTAATCTAGATGTTATTCTCAAGTTTTTTGTGAATCTAAAACTTTCCGACTCTTTTTCGATGGGTCTTATGGATCAATGACACATTGCTATTTTAACTAACGAATGATCTGGACTATAGTCAAATTTTTTTTCTAGGATATCTTATTATATCGTTGGATATCAAATGTGGATACTAAAATGGACTATGACTTTTAATGTTCATGAGGAATCTCTGATAATTCCTTTGGATTTCATTTCAAAATCTAAGATAACATTTCTTTAATTCTCAAGTTCTTTTTGCCCTTGCCTCCATTTTTGGTCGACCACTCCAAACCGACCAAACTACTTCTAACATTTCCCGGCTCTTAGTGGCTAGGGTTATGGTTAAATTGGATGTTTCTGAGAAACATCCTAAGGAAAATTGGATTGGATATGAACTGAATGGCTACTTTCAAGAAGTCAAATTTGAGAATTTTCCTACCTTTTGCTCACATTGTAAAATGCATGGTCATTGTGTGTATGATTGCTTTATTTTACATCCATAATGATGAAATCAAAAAGATAAATCAAAAGTTCCTGAGGGGGGAAATATCGGAATAAATGACTGGGAAATAATATCATCTCTAAATAATGAGGATGCTTTGGTGGAACAACAAAATTTGGAGAAGGTGCAAAATGTTACCATTGAAGGTGAAATAGTAATGAGGCTAGAAAGATTAAACTTTATGATGGTTCTAAGGTGTAGGGAGTTAAGCAACAAGCCAATCAAAAAGCTTATGCTAATGAAATAGAGATATTAAAGATGGGGAATTTGTGGATGAGCAAATGTTAGCTTTAGTGATGTCGGATGCTACTAACATAAAAGTTTCATAATTGGTTACTAATGTTAAAAATATTGAGTGCAGTAACGTGCCAACTAATCCTTCTATGTTGAATGTGCAGGAAGGAGAATTCATTTCTACTTCCAATCTTATGGAAGGAGGCGCCACAAATTATAAGAGTGCGACTTTAGATAATGGTAAATGTTTGACTAGTATTATGACCTCCATGTCTCTTCATACTGTTGATGAATTAGTGAAATGTAATGATGAAGTTGACATTGATATGCACTTATCTCATATGAAAGACTTTACGGTTGTTTCACATAAAAAAATAAGAAATAAAAAAGCCAAGGTGCTAAATCACCTAGAAGTACTCAATCTCAAACTTCGAATAAAATGATTTTAATGATTAAGTCCATTATTTGGAATGTTAGGGGCATTGGGTGCCCTTCTTCTAGGATTAGAGTTAGGAATTTATGTCGTGTTCATAATATTTTCTTTATCATTATTATTGAACCTGTTATTTTGGCTTCTAAATTGAATTAGACGACTACTTTGCTTGGTTTCAAACATAGTTGGGCCAATGTTTCTAATAAAGTTTGGATTCTATGGAAAGATCCAATTACTATTTATGTTGTTGGAGATTTTACTCAAGTTTTGCATTGTAAAATAGAATGCATGAATTTTGTTTTATATGCATCCTTTGTTTATGTTGCATCATCTCGTTTAATAAAAAAAAATCTTTGGCAATAAATGTCTAATTTTTGTGGTCTTATAGATGCTCCTTGTCTTGTTGGTGGTGACTTTAATGCCATATGTAACTCGAGTGAGAGGCTTGGCAGTTTCCCTTCGAATTATCAATCTATGGATGATTTTAATAATATGATTTTGGATTGTAAGCTGGTTGATATAGGTTTCTCTGATAATTCTTACACTTGGGATCATGGTAACATGTGGCAAAGGCTTGATAGGGTGCTTTTTAATTATTTATGGATGAATGCTTCTAGTAATACTTTTATTGAACATCTTAGTAAAACATTTTTAGATCACTCTTCCCTCCTGATTGGAGTTAAGTCTAGGAATAATAATTATATTCCTTCTTTTAAATTCCAAAACATGTGGCTCCTTAATGATACTATTTTTAATTTAGTCAAGGAGAATTTGGAAGCTCCCCTTCACCCTGATAATTCTATTAAAGGAATGATTAGACTTTGGCTTAAGCTTAAAAGACTTAAGTTTATAATTAATTGGTGGAATAGGCACAATTGCAATAATACTGAATCTAAGATATGGCATAATAATATTCCTTCTTCTATTGTTATCTTTTTTTGGCGTCTTATGAACAACTATGTGGCTACCGATGATATTTTAATTAAGAGAGGTTTTATTATGCTTCTAAGTGTCAATGTTGCTACCATGTGGAAAACTTGCATCATGTTTTCCTTTTGGGTCCTATTGTTGTAAAATTTGGATCTATTTTGAGGATATTTTTCAAGTTAATTATTTCAATGTTAATTTGTCTATTAGGGATATGATTAATCAGTGGTTTACTAAACCCAAAGGTCATATTACTCATCTTATATCTTTTCTTATTTTATAGCACCTTTGGCTAGTTAGAACAACTCCCTTTTTAATGGTTTTCCCATGAAGGTTGATCAAATTATTCATACCATTAAAGATAAAATGAATATATTGTTTAATGTCTATCTTTTAACTGTGAAGAATTTTAAAGGTTGTACCTTTTTTGCTAAGGAGTTGGGTATTGTTTTAAATATTCATGAGCACATCGACGTTCCCAAGTTGGTGTACTGGCTTAAACCTCTGATTAATACTTATAAGCTTAATTGTGATGGGTCAGTGAAAAATAATTCGTGCTGATGTGGTGGTATTATTAGAGATTTGATTGGTAATTTTGTCATTGCTTATGCCATTCCTCTTCATAAGCGTTCTGTTAATTTTGTTGAGCTATATGCTATCTTTTATGGTTTGAACCTTTGTTTATCCTTTGGAATTAGTCACATTTGGATTGAAGTTGATGCAATGCATATGATTTTTTGTCTCAAAGACATGTATGATAAAGTTTGTAGTCCTTATTTATTCTATCTCATTAGGGGTACTTAATAAATGCTTCTTTATTTTCAAGTAAAATTTACTCATATTCATAGAGAAGAAAATTATTGCGCCAATTGGTTTCTTATCCTGGGCTCCAACTTGCAAAATGCTACTGAATTATTTTATGTTGATTTGTCAATCTTTATTGAAGGCCTTATCTGGTTGGATAAATTGGGTTTGCCTTATGTTAGAGGTTAAGTGGGTATGTTTTTTGGTTTTATTTTGATATCTGTACAAAATGCATTATTTTTCATTAAGCGGTTGCTGAGCCTTTGGTTTCTGCCGGTTAAGAATTATTTGAGCCTTATTAATGTCCCCTACATCTAGATTTTCCCTTTGAATGGTAATTTGGATAACCTGTTGTTTGGTTTACTGGTTCATTACACTCTTTCTGGGTCTATATGATTTTATGTTTCTTTCTTATTATCTGATGACCTGCTGCTTCTTGTTTTGTTGGATGTGGATTTGTTGATGGATGAGTAGAATTCTGGCCTTATTGATGGGTCATATTTGGAGGTTTGCTGGAGTTTTTCTGGATCTGGGTGGTGGGGCGGCTTGCCTGCATCCCTCCCTTTATGAGTATTCTTTGTGGTGTAGTATCCCTTGCTGTTAGTTTGGAAGTGGAATTAGATGGTATAAACAATCTCTTATTGTGGTGTTTTACTTTATTGGATGTTGGTTGATTATATTAAGTCCGTTAGCCTTTATGCTGCAATGCGCAGGTGTAGTTTGGATGTACTGTTTTGGTTTTTACTCCATTTATATGATTGGTTTTCGTTTCTTTCATTACATGTATTTTGGTTTCTCACTTTTCCTTTTTGCAGGGAATTTTAATTTGATTGATAACGGCTATACCAGGTTTAATTTTCAGTTTTTGTTATTTTATTATTTTAATAGAATTTTGCAGGAACATTTTGGTGCTGATTGTTTAGTTCCTAATTTTTTGCGAGAAAAAATCGTGATGATTGAGTATCCTTTTTTCTTCCTTTATGTTTGGGTGATGGCTACTGGCCAACCTAGAGTGTTCTTAGGAGATTTTGAATATGGTAGTAGGGAACTTGAGTTTATATGTTTTTTTTATTACTATTGTAGCTCTTTTGAGCATTAGCGGCTCGAGATCCTTTCAAGGATCTTGTATTCTTTTATTTTAATTAACGCGTAGGCCTCTTCGTGAGTTTCTACTTAAAAAGAAGAATTTTATTTTATAAATAATTAAAATTTAAAAAAAGTATGAAATTGCAACAATATACATATATTTGCAAAGAATATTCGGGCGAGTAATTGGGAAATGGGAAGAGACTGAGCCTACTAGTGACTGCAAGGTAAATTTGAATTCCCGTGAGAGCTAGGGCAGTAGTGGGAGGGAAATGAAGTAAAAGGGCCTCAAGTACCCAGCCGCTGCTGTGGCGTTGGAGTCATTGTGTTGGGGACAGCGGAAATAATGGGGTAATTGAAAGAGAAAAGCTGTCTTAGCTTTGACCCCTCTCTTCTTTACATACGCAAAACATGAAATCAAATATAACGCACACCCGACCCCATCAAGACTTGCCTTTTATTTTTCTTTATTCGCTTTTGTTCCTTTGCGTTTCTCTTCGCACTCCCATCTCTCTCGCCATCTCCTTTTCTGGATGCCGGAGGAAGTTCGGAGCTGGAGGAAGGGTTGTGGAACTCTAAAGTTGCGATCTTTTTTATCAAGGTAGTACTTTTTGGTCATTTTGTTTTTCTTAAATTTCTATCTTTTTGCTAGGTTTTTTTTGCTGCTCTTTTATGCCTTTTTCTTTTCTTTTTTGTAGCTGGGTTTTCTTTAGTTGATGTTTATGTTGAAATTGGTCTTGATTCATGATAATTAGTAGCTGTTGTTGTGATATCTGTGTTGGTTTATGCTTTTGTGCCGGGATAATTCATGAGAAGGGGAAAGCAATGGGGTTTTGATGACTGGCTAGGTTTTATCTCTAGTGCTGCTGTTATTACTGAGGTTCTTCGCTCATTGATGATCTTTGCTTTATCAGATTTTTGCATAAAGATTTGAAATTTGGTGAGGCTTGCATGTTCTTCCGTCCATGATTTTCAAAAATTTTAACATGTTTCCCGTTTTTTGAAAGAAAGGACATTTTTAAAAGGTAAGTATGCAATGCTCTGAAACTTCCCTTTTTTTTCGGTTCTCACTTTAATGAATGTCACTTTTTTAGATGGGATTTTTATTCTAGTTCGACGTTTCGTGCGAAAGATTGTATTCTGATTCTCCAGCTTCTCATAAGCTTCGAACTAGATGTTTCCTCTGACTTACCTTTCTCTTTGTTGTGGTATCATTATGGCATCGCTCATTATACGCTTTGCTCTGTCATTCCCCCTTTAGAAAAATCTCGCATTGCAATGAGTGCTTCGTACGTTTTACTGTAGATTTGAGTGACTTGTTTGTCGCTTTGCTTCAGTTGCTCCTACCTTCTTCTGTATGATCTCATTTTACAAGTTTCACTCCTTGTACCAAAATCAAGGGCTTAGATGTTCTTTTTTTTGAAGTTTCAAGAAGATATAATATAAGTGGTGGTACAGTTTCTGGATCTGCAGCGTAATTTTATTTTTTTTCAGAGAATAGTTGATTTAATTAGCGTAATTACCCAAAATTTTGTCTTTTTGTGAGGATTCAAACATTTGACCCTTTGTTTGGAGGGAACAACAGTTATATTGCTGGTGCTATGCCTTCGGTTTACTTGAATATTGTCTTCTATGGTCTGGGCCGTGTTATTTAGTCAATTCTATGATAGTATTTCATTTTTCTTTTTCCCTATATGTAGCTTTATTATTTCATTTACTATAAGGACTATACAATCTTCATGTTTTAGCTGTTCTGTTAAATGTTTTCCCTTGCATAATTAGTGAATCCTACGGCTTCGATGTGATGGCAGATAATTTACTAAGGCGTGCATATAATATTAACGGAGAAAGTTGCAATCAAATCTAATGCTGTGGGTCGGAATGCTTGCTTTTTTCATTTGAACCTATGGAACATGCCGTTTGCTGCACAGTTTTCGTAGGTATATAAAGTCCTTTCTTAATTGATGGCTTCAAAGGCTATCACTAGTGCAATTCAAGAGCAGCAAATGAAAGGAGCTATTGATCAAGCAATAGAGTCAAGCCATGACAGGTCTCCTTTGCAGATTCCTAAGCCCACCAAGTCAGAACCTGCTGCGCCAAGAAGGTTTCCAGAATCTGCATGCCATAACGCAACAAAGAATACTTCCACCGATATAGCTGAACAAAGGCCAAGCCACCATAGAAAGTGTTCGGTTGACTCTTTACCTGCTTGCATTAATTCAATGTCCATTCATTCTTCTGAGCCCAATATGCATTCCCTTGTTGAAAATCTAAAAGATTCAATTAAAAAAGTTGATACACGAGAAATTATTCAGTTAAATGGGCACAAAATCTTAGAAGGTAGTGGGGATCAAGAAAAGAAAATCTCCGAGCAGAACAGTGTAAAGGATAGTTCAGCATCTGCAAAAATGAGTGATGGAACAAGTAGCTTAGCGAAGACTAGTGGAAGTGCTAAGATCAGTGGCCGGGCTGACCTTTTTGAAAGTGGTAAGAGTAGCATGTGCAGGGCCAGCACAAGTAGTGATATCAGTGATGAGAGTTCCTGTAGCAGTTTCAGTAGCAGTATTAACAAACCTCATAAAGCAAATGATTCAAGATGGGAAGCAATTCAGGTTGTCAGGGCTAGAGATGGGGTTCTTGGTTTAAGCCATTTCAGGCTTCTAAGGAAGTTGGGATGTGGCGATATTGGGAGCGTATACCTTTCAGAGCTGAGTGGTACAAAGTGTTACTTTGCTATGAAGGTTATGGACAAGGGTTCTCTTGCAAGTCGCAAAAAGCTTCTTAGAGCTCAAACAGAAAGGGAAATACTGCAAACCTTAGACCATCCTTTTCTTCCAACTTTATATACTCATTTTGAGACTGATAAGTTCTCATGTTTGGTAATGGAGTTCTGTCCTGGTGGAGATCTACACACCCTTCGCCAGAGACAACCAGCCAAGCATTTTACAGAGCAAGCTGTGAAGTATGGACTATATCTTATGTCTTTGCTTTTACTGTATTGATATGTTCTCTTTCTGAGCCATTTGTACTTGATTACTTGCCTTTCAATGGCTTGCTTGAATATCTGTTTTACTTGGCTTTTTTCAAGTATGGCATATTGCTAGTTCTTAATGAGATGCATAAATAAATAATGTTTTACTGTATTTTGTATATTCGTCATCATCATTGTCATCATTAGCCTTAAGCAAACTATCATTCACTTTGTGAATCCTCATTCTATGTTCTTCCTATTGAGTGTTACATGAGATGTTAACTCTTAATTAAACAAGCTTTTAGTACAACTCTTGATCATATTATTTTTCATTTACTATTTTATCATCATGTTCCTTCAATCTTTATTTCATCTATTTGTGTTATCATGCATCTTTTGCCCTCCCTTGTCGTATATAACTCTATTTTTTACTGTCTTATTATGAATAGTTGTTGTCTCACTCTTCATTTAGGGGTTGTTTGGTTGGAATACAAAGTAATGTAAAGTATTCCAATGCAGGTGTTTGGTTGGAATACAAATTCATACAAAGTAAAACAAAGTAAATGTAGTGTAAATAATTTTAGTTCATTTTTGAAGTAAACCAAACTCGCTCAGTTTTGAGCGAGAATTATTTATACCACAAGCAAGCTCGCTTTATTGCCGACCACCACCGCCGCCACCTGTCGGGCTCACCACCGTCAGTCACTGCCGCGGCCACCACCACCAGCTGGCGGTTGCCGCAAGCCACCACTATTGTCGGCCATCACCACCACCCGTCGGTTTCCGCCGCCACACGTTGCTGGCCACCACCCATTGCTGGCCACCACCAGCCGTGGGCCACCTTCACTGCCGCCACCTACTATCAACCGCCGGTTGCCATCGATCACCACCGCCGTTGCCCCCTATCGACCGCCATCATGTTTGGACTTTACAATACATTCATTACTTTAAACCAAACAAAAAGAATCATTCGCACATTCATCCGAACTACATCAAAGTATTTCTTTTATTTGGCATTCTTTCTTTAACCAACTAAAGAACCCCTTAGTATATTAGTTTCAGTTTATCCATTTTAGTTTTACCAGTCGTTCATCATAAGTTCTCATTTACCATGCTCAACTTAATTTTCAATGACCTCATTTTTGCTTAATACTTGGATTCATATAAAATATCTTATCTAATTGGAAGTTTAGAAAACTTTCCTTTGAATCTATGTGATTTTACTCTTTTACATAGCACTCTTGAAGTAGTGATTTTATTAGGATAACTTTTTAAGTCCAGAATTTATTCTCATCTATATTTCATTTTTTATACTACATTATAGATATCTATTGCTATGACATTTCTTTATCACTTGATCTTTCTACAATATTAATTGATAATTATCTATTTTACTTTCAGTGAAATTGCATATCATGCAATCAATTGAAGATTTCCAATATTCTTCCTTTTTTACTTTAACAGGCATCTCAACTAATATAAGAATGTTTTTCACAAAGAATATATATACTAAGATGCCTTACTTTAAATCTCTCTTTTATGCATCTCAGTAAGTAACATGATTAATATAAACTTAATGACGACCTTTTATATAATGTTGCAATGAAATACAAACCTTTGACCGCAGTTACTAATGCTTCTCTCATATCTCTATTTTCAATGCATCTTTGGTAGAAATTCTCTTTAATTCTCACTAATAAATTATTGTGGTACTAAATTATTTATTATTTTGATCATCAATAAACACGACATGATGACTTCTTGCTCTCTACATTTTCAATAATTGGCAAAGCAAAAAGATGACTCAGCTGTAAATTGGCTCTATGTACTCTGATTACTTCTTGCATACTAGCAATGTTTTGAAAGCAAGCTTTAAGCAAAATAAAGCACACTTTGAAGCAGAGCAATCCCAAAATATGTTAAAGTTTGAGCCTTAAATTGTTCGTGGTATGAAGCTGTTGCTTCCTGATGTAAAACCTATGCTTCATGCTGCCTTTGAAACATAGAAAGCTCGCACTTTTTTTTTTTTTTTTAATTCTGACAGCTGATTCAAATTTTTATCCTATTCAAAAGAAAGTGAAGAAAAATATATTAACAAAAAGGGGGAAAAAACCCACACTTTTCATCTATCTCAAAATCCCTCTTCTACAGGTTCAGGATAAAAATGCTTCATATCATTCCCATCTCAGCATCTCTTTTATCATATTTTTGTATCTCACCTCACTTTATCTATACTCTCTTTTCCTATAAACCTTAAGCATTACAAGTATTTTTTTTAATTATTTATGATATTCTTTTCCTCATTCATCCAAATGAAAAAGAATTTTTTTTATTAATCTCCTTATTGTAATACTGAAATGAGCACTTTAATGGTTTTAGTTTGAACTTGCCATTCTTTATTGTTCATTTAAAACTTTTGTTCATCTTAAGCTTGTTTCATAATTCTTATTTATTATAATAATGTTATTTTAATATAAATAGGTATTACATAACTAACTACTTTCATCATGAAGTATTTTATGCTGTTTTTGGGTGATTTGGTTGTTATCAAAAGCTTCTAGTGCTAATGAAACCCTCCTGAAGTAAATGGATGCATTCACTTGCAAGGGTTTTGGTGAATACAGTAGGTTGAAAGATGATTTAATGCAAACTAGATTTAAGGGGCTGTTTGGTTTGTTGCATTTAGGTGTAGAGTAATCTAAATGTAGTGGTTTTGATAATTTGAGTGTTTAGTTGGATGAAAATAAATTCAAGGTAAAGTAAAGCAAATGCAGTGCATTCCATTCTTGTTCATTTTTGGTGTATTTGAAATTCTTCTGAGTTGGGCGATTTTCAAATACGCCGCAAACTCAAGGGCATTGCCACCCCTTGCCCGCAACCTCCGCCTGCTAGCAGCCACCGCCGTCCGGCCGCCACTGCCAGTCACCTCCTCTGGCCACTGCTGCAACTGCTGCCGGTCACCCCCACCTCCAACTCTCTAGCCACCGTATTAAGTATTCACTTTACATAGCAATCACTTTACTTCAAATTAAAAGAAAAAAAGTAATGTCACCCTAAACCTTTTATATTCATCAAAACAACTCTAAAGTATTTCTTTTACACTGCATTCCTATTTCAAGCAACCAAACAACTCCTAAGTAATTTTTAAACCTCAAGGCATGCACAACACTGAAAGTAAAGTAAGTTTACCTTCATCATGTTTTGCTTTACACATCTCTTGGAACCAGCCAAACAACTAGAGAAGCAAAACAGTTGTGTGTTTAGACTTCTTCCAAACTTCAGAGATTTGATTTCTTCATTTTACCTTGCGTGGCCATGCTAGATCATCTTGGCTATCTTTAAAGAAATGACATATGCCAGCTGATCAACAATAAGCTAAATTAGTACTATTCATGATTAGTTCTTGAAATGAGTAGCTCATTGCTTCATTTTGAGTACCACAAGATTTATATTGCACGTGGTTTGTGAGGTGTCACTTTCGTCTGCCTCACATAGAATGGCTACGTTTCTTTAGTGCTTCTGGCATTCTAGCTTTCTTTTGTTTGAAACAGGGTTGGAGCTAGTTTAGGCCTGGGGTTTTCTAGTGAAAATGCAAACTTCATTATGAACAGGAAATTATTCCTAATCCGAATGTTTGTTTTACTTTCAGGTCTCGTGCTGAAATCTCAGAAACTTTTAGAATCCGCTTGGAATTTATATTTATCTTCCTATCCTCTAATCAATAATAATCAATAAAAATTAAGAATATTATTTAAATTTGAAACAACTTCAAATACCTAAATCTTTATAAATTTTAGATACCTTTTTCTTTAATTCCTGTGGATTTGTATTACTAATATTCATCTTGTTTTTTTCCCATCAAAGAAATTAATATTTAAATCTTTTTGAAAATCGAATGGTGTGATTTCATTATCATCATTCGCAAGCCATTCATTGTCTGATGGTATGTCAAAAAAAAAAAAAAAAAACTGAAGTATACTTGTCCTTTTTTTAATATTTTTTTCTTTCAAATTTCTATCTTTCAATCTCTTGTTGTATTATGATGTTTACTAAGAATTTCATCTTTAAGTTAATAAGATGATTTATCCTTTTCATACGACTTGTTTATATGTATTCTAATTTTGGTTAAATTCAAATAATGGAGTTGTAAGCCTCAATACAACAAAAATCTATGTAGCTTTAGAGTGCCATTACCAAATGGGACCTACCATTTAATTGAATTTAAAAGAATAAATGCATAGTTAGAATAGGGAGTCCGTTCTTATTTGAATCAATTGATATTAAAAATTATCTAGAGAATGTTTTGCAACTGTATTTTTGGCTTGATGTAGTTCAAAGAATTCTTCCTTATTTTTGAATGGTACAAGTTATATATCAGCATTCACTTTTTTTAGTTTAGTCAACTATTAGTTTATCCAAAGAATGGTATAGAACTAATTTAATTTCATGATTGGTTAACTTGTTCTTAGCGCATCGAAATTGACAATTAAGGTAATATACAACAACATATGAATAATAATGGAGCTAAAGCCCTCACTATTCATCATTTATCAAATCTTCTTATAGTTGGACTCATTTCCTCTTTAAGTTATAGACAATAAACTACTTAGGCTTGTCTATTGCTTTGTAAATGAAGCCCATAGTTGACTTTTCCTATGCATCCTCAGAACTTAAATCAATTGCATTGTTGTTATTGCATATATAATTGCAAAATATTTCATTTAACTTCTTCCCCCTTAGGTTTCTTTGCCCAAGTAATGCTAAGCTATTGTGCTGAAGTGAACATGGATTCCAAATGTTGCATTGGTTCTAAAGTGCTCTATATGATCAAATAGGTAGTAGCAAATGTCATTGTGTTAGGTTGTAAGAGCTTCTTTCTTAAGAATTTTTTCATCAAAGCGAAGACACGTGAATGATTGTAGATGAATTTACTTATCTTCTTTGTTTTGGCCAATGTGTTCTTGTGCCTAGGCAAATCACCCATTTCTCTAAAACCAAATCTACATAGTGTGCCACACAAGGTGTTTGGTACGGTTCTCCATCAACTTATTTTCAACTGTCCTATAAACACTAGCATTGTATGTCACAACTTACACCACCTAAAAACTTAAAGCTATGAACATTAACACATAAGACATGATATTCTCACTTCTGAACATTTTTTGGTGTATGGTTGCATTAAAAACTGTATTCCATAGGTTCATATCTGCTGCCAGTTCACTTTCTATGCATGTCAAAGTAGATGAAGTGGTTGTCATTCTGGTTCGACCTGCCAAAAAGGCATGAGAAGTTCCTGTTGATGCATTTCATGGTGAACTCTTAAATTGTTATTGTTGGAGTATATTGGAGTTCCAAAATAAAAAAAACAATGTCCTTTACGTAGACAAAAAGTTCATTTTTAAAAGAAAAACGTTAATAAGAGAGCTTCAATGAAAAAAAAAAAAAAAAGGATAAAACCTTGTTAGCATATGAAATTAGTCCACTTGAAATACCAGGGCTTCTAAGCATTACTTCCTTTCATAGCTGTAAATAGAAAAATAGCATGCACTATATCCCATAGCATAGTGAGGTACACTTCTAGTACTATTGGTGTAGCAGGCACAAAAAAACAAGAAAAAAAAAGTGTTATGTATGCTTTTAATGCACTGTGTATGAGCGCTTAATGCACATGGTATGCATTTTTTGTTTGTTCAAAATGTTTACTAGTTTTTTATTGCTTTGATTTATATGTTTTTTATGTTAGGGCTTGAGCATTAGTTATTTTGTTTTTCTTAAAATATAATAGGAGCTTAACTTGGAGATAGTTATGGTAATGTAATTGGCCCATTTATTTTGCAGACATTGATGATGCTAATAAGTGATTAATAGGAAAATTAGATGGTTGGTTAAATGAACATGATGTTAGTCTTTGGTGAACAAAATTTGACATGGAATAATGTTGTGAGAGCTGGTGGTGTTTATAAAAAAAATCAATTCATGATTAATCTAAAAAAAGAAAGAAAATGAATCTTTATCTTGACCTAACACAATTATGGTTGTACATGAAAATGATGAGGATAATGAAGAAGATGATAATGATGAAGGGGTGAGATTATTTTGGTTTATGATGAGTTTGAAGATGACTTGTTTAATTCTTTTATGAATATGGAACTTGCAAACAAACTACTCTTGTTTAATAAAATTTTCTAATATTATACATTGTCATGATCGTGATAGTTTTTCTCTTTTTTTTTTTCAAATCCATTAACCATATTGATTACAATTCTTAACCTTCATGTATGTTGAATAAATTTTAGGTTCAATTTGTATCACATTGCTTTTGTCTTTCTACTTCTAAGGATATTTTCTTGTACAATGTTATTAATAAATTATTCATGATGTATTGTTCTTTGCACTATTTTTTATTGTTTTGATTTTAGATGGTGAGACCTGCAATGCTTTACGGCGCAAAATGTTGGCCATTAAAAGAGAAACATAAAATTAAGTTAAGTGTTGTAGAGATGAGGATGCTTAGGTGGATGAGTGGCTTCACTCTTAGCGATAGAATGTGAAATGAGTATATATGTGAAAAGGTTGGAGTAGCTTCAATGGAAGATGAAATTAAATAGAGTTGCCTTAGATGGTTTGGACATATATTTTGGTTTATGATGAGTTTGAAGATGACTTGTTTAATTCTTTTATGAATATGGAACTTGCAAAACAACTACTCTTGTTTAATAAAATTTTCTAATATTATACATTGTCATGATCATGATAGTTTTTTTTTCTCTTTTTTTTTTCAAATCCATTCACCATATTGATTACAATTCTTAACCTTCATGTATGTTGAATAAATTTTATTTTCAATTTGTATCGCATTGCTTTTGTCTTTCTACTTCTAAGGATATTTTCTTGTACAATGTTATTAATAAATTATTCATGATGTATTGTTCTTTGCACTATTTTTTGTTGTTTTGATTTTAGGTGGTGAGACCTGCAATGCTTTTCGGCACAAAATGTTGGCCATTAAAAGAGAAACATAAAATTAAGTTAAGTGTTGTAGAGATGAGGATGCTTAGGTGGATGAGTGGCTTCACTCTTAGCGATAGAATGTGAAATGAATATATATGTGAAAATGTTGGAGTAGCTTCAATGGAAGATGAAATTAAATAGAGTTGCCTTAGATGGTTTGGACACATATTTTGGTTTATGATGAGTTTGAAGATGACTTGTTTAATTCTTTTATGAATATGGAACTTGCAAACAAACTACTCTTGTTTAATAAAATTTTCTAATATTATACATTTTCATGATCATGATAGTTTTTTTCTCTTTTTTTTTTTCAAATCCATTCACCATATTGATTACAATTCTTAACCTTCATGTATGTTGAATAAATTTTAGGTTCAATTTGTATCACATTGCTTTTGTCTTTCTACTTCTAAGGATATTTTCTTGTAAATTATAAATAAATTATTCATGATGTATTGTTCTTTGCACTATTTTTTATTGTTTTGATTTTAGGTGGTGAGACCTGCAATGCTTTACGGCGCAAAATGTTGGCCATTAAAAGAGAAACATAAAATTAATTAAGTGTTGTAGAGATGAGGATGCTTAGGTGGATGAGTGACTTTACTCTTAGCGATAAAATGTGAAAAGGTTGTAGTAGCTTCAATAAAAGATAAAATTAAATAGAGTTGCCTTAGATGGTTTGGACACATAAAACGTCGGCCTTCTGATGGTCCGATTAGGAGAGTAGATGTATCAGATTTGACCTATATTAAGAACCATAAATGTAGACTTAAAAATGCTAGGTTAAATTTTTTTTTATTAGATTTAAATGAGAATTTGACTTGTAACAAGACACAAGGGAGAAAAAGGATTCATATAGCCGACTCCAAATAGGTTGATAAAGGCTTGATATTGTTGTTGTTGTTGATGATGATGATTTTAGGTTCTATTTAAATTAGATTGCTTTTGTTATTCTACTTCTTTGTTGGTGAATACCTCTTTTGTGAATCCTGTTTTCATTTGCATGCTCAATATGCTATTAGTTTATTCAGATTTCAGAATGTTCTTCATGGATGAATTTTCTAGCCATATAGCATTTCCTTTTCTTTCTAGTTTTAGGATAGTGCATGCTAGATATGAGCTGTGATGATCTAATTTGAGAAGAATTGTCAATCTGCACTGTATTATTTTTTTCATTTTTTGTGTTTTCAGCTTCTTCACTAATATATTTATGCTATTTGAAAAGATAGAGAAAGAGATCTTAGGCTGCTTTCACGGCCTGAATATAGACTCTTTATGTGGAAGTTATTATTGTAAAATCCAGTTTGAAATCTGTTGAGGACCTAGTAAGTGGTTGTGTAGATCATTGACATGCTCTTTTTACCTGTCATCGCTTTATCCTTTCCCCTTCGTCACATTAACTTTTAATTAGGTTTCATATACACATATTATAGCCATTCTCTTTTCCATAAATTTTCTTGTATTCATTTTATATGCCATGGATGTCTAAGCCAATTTTACCGCAGCACCACATCAAAACATGGCAATCTATACAAAAGTAATATGATCTATCTACTGTTTTATATTCAGTAATGCTTTATCATAATCTATCTACTGTTTGATATTGCTGTAACTTAAGCAAAAGAAGTTTTCAAGCGGCAGGAAAAGTTTGCTATAATTTTCTCCACTATACTACCCATCAACACCAAATAAATGCTAATATGTCAAAATGCTAGTAGATTCTCTTTTGACAATATGCAGATTCTAATGAACTGAAAGCATTAATAAATCTACTTCTTTTCTTTGTTCCATGCATAATATTTGCTTCATACATTGCAGATTCTATGTGGCAGAAGTCCTCCTTGCTCTGGAATACCTGCACATGTTAGGCATTATATACCGAGACCTCAAGCCTGAAAATGTTCTTGTTCGAGAAGATGGCCACATTATGCTTTCAGACTTTGACCTCTCCCTCAGGTGTGTGGTAAACCCAACTGTCATTAAATCCTGCAACCCTGATTCAGAATCTTTGAAGAGGAATAACAACCAGGTTTACTGTGTCCAACCTGCTTGCATTGAGCCATCATGCATTCAGCCTTCTTGTGTGGTTCCCACAACCTGCTTTGGCCCTCGTCTCTTCTCCTCCAAGTCCAAGAAGGACCGCAAACCGAAACTAGAGATTGGAAATCAGGTCAACCCACTGCCTGAGCTTGTCGCTGAGCCGACGGATGCACGGTCCATGTCATTCGTAGGCACCCATGAGTACTTGGCTCCTGAAATCATCAAGGGTGAGGGCCATGGGAGTGCAGTGGATTGGTGGACCTTTGGCATCTTTTTGTATGAACTTTTGTTTGGTAAGACTCCTTTCAAGGGATCAGGCAACCGAGCAACATTGTTCAACGTTGTGGGCCAACCATTGCGGTTTCCAGATTCTCCTATGGTGAGCTTTTCTGCTAGAGATCTAATAAGGGGATTGCTTGTGAAAGAGCCGCAACATCGGCTCGCATACAAGCGAGGGGCGACAGAGATTAAACAACATCCTTTCTTTGAAGGTGTGAACTGGGCATTGATACGATGTGCGACCCCACCTGAGATCCCAAAATTGGCAGAAATTGAACGGGCTCCTGGGCTGATCGCTCGAACAGCTGAAAAGGTTGCTAGTGGTATTGATCACAAAGGTTTGGAGACTTATCTTGAATTTGATTTCTTTTAAGATTTTCTTATTAAGGGAAGAGCAAGATTTTGTTTCAAGGGGAGGTGTTAAGTTTCTAATGGGTAATTCTATTCTATGTAGATTATTGTAATTCTGTGCGAAATATGTTGTTTTCTTAGGACTTTTTTCTATTTTCTTGCACTTGCCACTGAATGCTGAAATATTTATCTTTTTTTATGGTTTAAATTTTAAAAAGATGCTCTTATTTAGCTTGGAATGTTTCCTGTGAGCTGATTCTATTATGAAACTATTTCGATACCTGATACTGAAGATGAATGGAAGGGTTAACTGTTAAGTTCATATCTTTACTTTCATTCCCTTCAATCTTTGATGCAAGTTGGTTCTTCTGACCAATTAGCCATTTGCAAAATGTTTGGCTAATTTAACATTGTGAAATTTCAGCTCAATTTTTGTGGGAAATGCACTTGAGAAGATCTAAAGTAAACTCATTGAATTGTGTTTTTCACGTCAAAATGCAATTTTTGTTTGGATACATGAAAAATTGAGAGGCATTCTAACTTTTGCTAATCCGTAGCAGAGCTGCTACTCAGCAGATACACATCAAATGAAACTATATATTAAAAAAAAAACTTCAGATGATGAATTGTATGAAGAATGCTACATAAACTTTCTAGGGAACCATGTACAACTCATAACATTCCTGTTTTTTCTTCCATTTCCATTTCCCTGAATGCTACTGGAATTATTGGAGGGTGAGGAAGATGACTGTGTCTGATCTGCAGCTTTAACTTCTTTTCCTTGACAGATTATCTTCACTGCACAATATTGAGGTGCATTGTTATATATTACCTCTGCTTTACTGCGTTTCTTCCTCAGCTTTCCATTCCTGCATTGCTTATAATATTATTTGTTCTTCCTGTCGTCTCATATTTGCAAAACTATTATCTCTAAAACTCTACTGAATATCCCTTAAATGAAATATGAGTATTATTTGTTTAGCTTGCATTCCTTTCAGTATTTCAAATTCTTACCTGAGGTTTGATTTTGTGGTTCCTATGATTAGTCTCTTGATATGTAGAACTGGAATAAGATCTACAATGGCCTTTTCAATTAAATCACTCTCAATTAGCAGAGTATCTGCTTGTATCTGTTCTTAACATTGAAAGCAAATTTAAAAAAGAAAAAAAATCATCAACCAAGTAATAAAAAGCTTGAACATTTATTCAAGGTATGCACCTTGGAAGCCATGCATAGATTCAGAAATTTCTGGAGCAATTCCCTTCTCTTGTTTCTCTCTTGATTCATAAATGCGTCTACTTGCTGTGGATTCACGTTGCTCTTTGGGAGCATTCCCACTGGTTCACAGGCTTCTTTCATGTTAGCCAAAATGTTGGAAACTTCATTCTACAATCTTTATAGAAACTAGTCTGTAACTCATACTACTCAAGATTGAGACCATATTTGCGTATTTAATTCTTCTTAATATATTATAGGTTTGCGTACAAAAATCTAGAAATAGTTCAGATCTTTTTGAACCACTGGTTAGAGATATCACCATCAATGATGTTATTAGACGCTACAAGTCGCCAAGGTTAATAAAAATTTGAGTCACCCAATTGAGTCAGCCTAAAAGAAAAATCATTCATTCAAAATTTGATCAAATAAAACAGTATAAGGCTTCATTTCACATTAAAATAAGAGTCCCCATTCTCCATATTAATTGATTATGCATGCCGGTAAGATAAAGAAGCATAAGGCTTCATTTTGGTACAGCTTTCTTACTATTTCGATTTTCATATCGCAACCATATTTTTTATTTGACAATTATTTTTTTCATTATTTTCAATAAAAATTTATATTACGAAGTTCATTTTATAATAGTTTTAAAAAGTTACATTCTTTATTGTAACTTTGCAAAACAGTAAAAAATCATCCCAACGAAGCTCTATTTCTTTTAATTTCATGCATACAACAAGAAGAATATTTTAGTAAACAAAAAAAATGTGAAGTAATCAATAAAAGAATAAAATTTGAATCATGATGAGTGCAATACATAAATAATCAAGTAGGGTCACCTTAAAAAAAAAATCTGACGACCATCCAAATTAAAGTTTAATAGAGATATCATAAAAAAATTTATTTGTTGAGAAAAAAAGGACGGTGAATGAAAAATCATATAAATGAAATATGATTATTGGATAATTTTTTTTATTTGGGAAATTTTGGGGCCTTAGCCCATATATTTCAAGAGTGAAAAAGAATTACAAGTAAATAACTTACATGTAAAGACAAGTCCACATAAGTAGAAACAAAAACTTATGCAGGGAAAAAGAAATAAACCCCAACTATATCACCTATTACATATCTAAAGTATAAGATGAAGATCCAAAAACGTGGTAGTTGCAAAAATTTGGATAGAAAACTTCTGTAGAAGAGAAGCAGGCAGAGCAACAACTTCAGAAATCCTGAGTGAGAAGAGGCCAAATTGAACCACAGACAGCCAATAAAGTGAGGCATTAAAGTAAGGCAACACCAAAATGAAACCTGTAGCACCAATGAGTAAGCATATCCTGAGTTGAACCACAAAGAGCCAATAGAACTCCCCAGCCAAAAGTCTGGACTCAGATTGTAAAATGTCTACGTCGAATTCTCAGAAACCTGGTTGCCCGAAGGCCGTCCAAGGGGCCTGCTTTGGGAGCTTCATCATTGTCCAGACAAGGCAATCTATGCAGGCATAAAGCGACGGGACAGAAGGGCCAAGAAGGAGCACCTGCCAATTTATAATTCTTCTAGCAATTTGATTCCACCTTTCCATTTTGAAACTTTTTCAAAAAGAGTCCTTTTGATACAAAGCAGAACAGAGGTAAAACATTGAAAATTACCTCCAAACCTCTTGTTATTTCTTTCTCTCCAAGTATAATAGATAACGCAGCCAACAGCAAGTTTATAAAAATTCAACTTCTCAGAATTTTTCCCATTAACATCAGATAGCCAATCATACAGCTGCATAATAGATGGTCTCAAAAGGAAACAACTACTCCCAGGAATGAGGGTTTTCAAAATAGAGAAAGAGTACGGGCAATCAAAGTATAAATGGGAAACAAATTCAGTGTTAGAATGACAAAAATTGCATAATAACGGAACATGCATCTGTCTAAAGTTAAGAGCCACAGCAGTCTTCAAACCCCCCACCAAAGCTAGCCATACAAATACTGTATGCTTTAGAATGTTTCGTTTATACCAAATCATTTTATACCAACCGCAATTTGGTAACCCAGAATAATACTCATCAATAAAATGCTTGAATTTATAGTTCTTTTTGTTGTTCCAACACAGAGAAGGCCCAGAACTATCCGAAATGGAAATGGCATTAAAGGTGTTTTGTATCAAAGAAGAAAAGTGCCCAGGTAAATTCCAGGTGGCACCAGCCACTAGTTCATGTAAGAAATAGTCCAGCAATGAATCCAAGGAGGCATCCCCAGTGTAATCGAAAAGAGTTAAATTATGACACCAGTGGTCCCAAAGCAGAGAAATAGAAGCATTCGACGTAATATTGAATTTAAAACAAGATTTAGCTTGTAAAGCTGTTTTACAAATGAATTTCCATAGTTTTGAATCATTTTTGTGAGGCAGTTTCCAGGGGCTTCTGTATTTATGCAGCAGCTAAGAAGAGAGAGGAGTATAGTCATTTATACATCCTGAAAATCACAGAGCAATTATAGGAGAATTACATTGCATAAATGGAAGGGATACCCAGACCTCCCTTGTGTTTAGGCTTACAAATTTTGTCCCAAGAAACCATGTGGAGTTTCTTAGAAGAAGAAGTCTCCCCAAAGAACAAGAACCGAGAACTTTGCTTTTTAAAAAACTTATAAACAAATTTAAGTAAAATAGATCCCCTAATCCAATAAGCAATAGAGTTTTGAATGGTGAATTTTAAGAACTGTAACCCCCCAGCAAAAGACAGCAGATTGGCCTTCCATCCGTTCAATTTCCTGCTAATACTATCCAAAAGAGGCAAAAAAATCCTCAATTTTAAGCCTATAAAAAGAGAGAGGAATTCCCAGATAGTTAATTTTATTGACAATATTATGAATATCCAGAGCATTACAAATGTCAAGCTGATTAACTTGATGCTTGGGGAACATAATAGAGCACTTGTCATGATTAATATGAAGCCCAGTGGAACCGGCAAAATCTCAAAGAACAGAATTTAAAACATTGTAGTTGTCTAATGAAGCTTCTCCAAATATCAGAACATCATCTGCATAGAGCAAATGAGTGAGGGAGAAATTGTCAGAAGAAATACCTTTAAAACCTCTCACCTCAAGAAGGTTGGAAAAAGCATCCATAACCAGGCAGAAAAGATAAGGACTGAGGGGGCACCCTTGTCTCAGTCCAGCAATGGTAGAAAAATAACCCTCTAAAGCTCCATTAAGAACAATGGAAAAGTTGACATATGAAATACAAGCTTTAACCCAGCAAACAAACTCCTTAGGAATCCCTTTTTGGATTAACCTAGCCAACACAAATTCCCGAGAAACAGAGTCAAAGGCCTTCTTGATGTCAAGTTTTGCACATAAAAGTTTAGAACCTCCTCTTTTACCAGAGTAATAGAGGATATCACTACCAAGAAGAATACTATCAGTAGATACTCTGGATTTCACAAAACCAGCTTGATTATTTTTAACAATCAAACTAATAACCGGTTTAAGATATTCTGCCATCTCTTTAGCAATAATTTTGTACAAGACGTTACACAAAGCAATAGGTCTAAACTCATTAATATTAGCAGCATTTTTGTGTTTTGGAATGATAGCAAGAGCAGTGGCTTTAACCCCATTAGGTAAATAACCTTTAAGGAAAAAATATTTAATAGCCCTACAGACTATTGGCCCAAAAATATGCCACCCAGACTTATAAAAATGGAAGTTAAAGCCGTCTGGACCGGGAGCAGAAGTGGAGGACCCATTAAAAACAGCTTGCTTGATTTCTTCATCCAGCACAGTAGAAGAGATCAAGCTAACATGAGAATCAGGAAAAGCCGAGCCTATAGGAAAAATGTCCATATCCAAACAAGTAGGAAGAGGAGGGTTATATAAATCCTGAAAGTAGTGAATAATAGAAGATATCACCTCAGTTCTAGTGGAGTTCGGGTTATAAGCCATCAGATTAACAATGGATTTAGAACTACCCATTCTTCTTTTGATTTTGCCGTATAGAAATTTAAGATCATCTTCACCATGCTTGAGCCAATTCACTTTGGCTCTTTGGATAATCCATGAAGATTGCATAGAGATAAAATTGGCCAAGGCAGCATTGTTAACCTTATAATCATGATTCAGATTAGAGTTGAGAGGATCAACTTGCAAAAAATCCAATCAATCACTTTGTTTTTGGTGAAGGGAATCAAGGTGCCTGTTGACAGATGTGGAAGAAGTCCATTTCTCTTTTTTAATACCACTTTTAAAACTCTCAAGGAGTTACAAAGATGAATCAGAGGGTTACCCGTGCAAGGTAAATTAATAAAATGAAGGAGATGAGCCCAATAATAATCAATATTAGTCCAATAGTTTTTAAATAAAAACCTATGACTAACCCGATTGTAATAACCCGAATGAAGGATAATTGGTCAGTGATCCGAGCACGAAGGACTTTGGAAAGAGCAATATGAGTCTGAAAAAGCATTCAACTAGCCATCATTAACAAGGACTCTGTCAAGCTTAATGTGAATGGGATTGTCAGGTCTTTGATTAAACCAAGTAAATTTGCAACCAACAGAGTGTAAGTCCACAAGCTTATTACTGAAAAATCATGCTATTGAAGTCTAACAAGTTAGATTGAGTAATGGGAGTGCCCCCCAATTTTTTAGAGGCAAATCTGCAGCAATTATAATCCCCAATGAGAGCCCAAGGGAAGTTACCAGACGGGGCGAATTTAGTAATAGAATCCCATAACTATTTACGATCTAAACTTTTATTAGAAGCATAAATCACAGAAATTTCCATAAGGGGAGAATTAGCAACCAGAACAGTCCCAGAAATAAATTGAGTAGTGACAAATTTAGTAATGAAATCCAGCTTATCAGCGTTCCACTTAACCCAAATTCTCCCAAATTGAGAGAGAGTAAAATTATACAGCTATCTTCGTTGGCAAAAAGAGAGTGAGAAGACTGAAAAAAAGGGTCATGGATAGAGTGAGCATGAACCCTATTCTCCAAGATACAAATCATATCTAATTTGAAGGAATCAATAAGACGCTTACAGCCCAAAACTTGATCAGGACGGTTAAACTCCCTGATATTCCACGCCGCAATGGGTGGAAAAGACATTAAGAGTTGAATTGGTTTTGGGGC